TGTGCTTGGGAGCCCTCTAACTCACTTGTGCTTGATAGTGGTCATCCGATCGAGTGAGTGAGCGATTCTAGTGTGATTGCATTATGAGGTTGCATCGAGTGTCACTAAGTGATCATGTTGCCAGCCAGTGGTGCTTGTTACTCTTGGTGGTTGCCACCTCCTAGACGACTTGGTGGCTTGTGACTCCGTTGAAGCATGCAAGAATATTGTGCAATGCTCCGGAGGAGGATTTGTGTGGGGGATTGTGCTCACCCCATGGGGATCATGAAGAGCAACTCTAGTTGAGCGTGTCATTGAACTACCCTCACTTTCAGGGTTGGTTCTTGTGGTGCCCGACGTGCGGGCTTGATGGGTGATGCCAATTAGCTGCCGAACCACCAAGTGAGCGGTTGACACAACGGGGACGTAGCTTGGTGGCAACCAGGTGAACCTCAGGAGAAAATCACCGTGTCAACCTTGTCTTCATCATCTTCTCGGTGGTTTGCATTCCGCGAAACACAAGCTTGTATTACTTTCATATACATTGTGCTTGTATAGTTACTCTTGTGATTTGTTTAGCTTTAGTAGCTTGCTAGTTGCCTTCTTGCTTGTGTAGCATAGAAGTAGCTCCCTTACGTGGCTAATTTGGTTTTAGTAACCTTGTTAGTCACATTGTTTAGTTTGTGTAGCTAAGTAATTTGTGCTCTCTAATTTGACTTGTGTAGCCTCATTATTGAGCATTGCTAGTGAGCTTAGGAGCTTTGTGCTTTTGCATCACTAGTTGTGTAGGAGCTCTCCCGATTACTTGAGTACTAGTGCATAGGTTTGTGTGACCTTGCTCTAGAATTGATTAGGTGAGCTCTAGTTAGCCCGACACATTTGTTGCTTCTTTAGGATCTTTTTAAGATGCTTGTAAACTTAGATAGAGGGGTGTAATCTTGGCTAGATCGATAGTTTTAATTCCGCATTTGTTTTAGTTAGCCAGCGTGATTAAGTTTTAGAAAGGACTATTCATCCCCTCTAGTCCACTATCTCGACCCTACACGCATGCACACCTCGGTCACAGGGGCGGACTGCGGACGGGCCACGTCACGAATTGCAGAACAACCATGTTCGCTGGTTCACTATTCACAAGACTTCAAGTCTCCATCAGCCGACACCATTATTGGTTGGCGTTTGAGTAGTCGACAGCCTAAACCTAATGAGCGCGGAAGTGCGGTGATGTTGATCGCCGAGTGTCGTGTTGGTTGTTGCCCCGATGTTGAGCATCAATAGACAAATGGAGGGACGACCAGAGTGTCCTCTGGTCAACGATGTTGCCCGTGAGGATCGGAAGCTGCTAGGGTTTGGGACGACCAGAGTGTCCTCTGGTCAACGATACTATACACACTATACACTTGCCGTGCTGGCTCAGTGCCGGGATCAAAGGTGAGAATTGAGGATCTAGTATGATTTATGCATCTCGTATTGAGAGTGTGCTTTCAATGGCAAAGATGTTGTGTTGAATGATGTTTTGGACGTTGGGGGTATTGTCCCTCCATCATCAGTTCAGTACTTCCTCCGTTCTAAATTGTAAGTCACTTTGACTTTTTTGGTACATCTATTTTGCTATGTATCTCGATATATTATTATGTCTAGATACATAGTAAAAATGAATGAATCAAAAAAGTCAAAGCGACTTATAATTTAGAATGGAGGAAGTAGAAAGTAATGGCTTGTGTTAGATGGAATTTTCCAAACCCATAGAAGGGACAAGACATGGAGTACGATCCTGTCATACCCAAATTTAAAGGCAAATCTAGATATAAATTATATGTGTGCCCAGGAATCAATCACACACATATAGAGACAAATTAAAGCAGAATACCAAGCACAGTGCTTTATTACATCATGAGTATTTAATCCATTACATAGATATATCAAAGTCTAGCTAGCAGAAATAAATAAAGATAACTCCATGGCGCCTCTATAGCCAGGGACGGTCGACTGGTTGATCGCAAGACTAGTAATCCTCAGGAAAATCCGCATAACCATTGCAATATGTTACCCATCCAGGATTTTTATTTAAGTAATGAAAAATAAACAAGCATAAGTACATCTCGTACTCAACAAGAATAACATGGGGTTCATGAGGCTCAAAGAGATAGACACTGTTTAACTGCATTTAGCTTTTATTGAGTCATAATTTTAAACTATTTAGTAGCAACAAGTTTATCACAAGCCCATAAACACATGATCAGGTAAATATGAATAATGAATATCATAAATATAATTATCATTAAGGATCATCTATTCCATAAGGGTTTAAGGCCGCTCGTAACCGTGAGCACGGCTGATATACCAGTTTTACACTCTTCAAAGTTTGTACACTTTACCCGTGAGTCGTGTTGCCCATATGCCTGGGGTCATGACTCCCATAACACTTTCAAGGTGAGCAGGCAGGGTACACTATGAAGTCTTTTAGAAGTTTGTCTAACAAGTTAGGGCCGCTAAGGTTTCTAATTGGCAAGGGAATATAGAGCCCCCTTCTAAATAGCACAATCCGCGCAGGCTATACACATAGGGACAGATGCCGCACTATACTCAGCTCGTCAAGCCCCTCTTGCGCCCTTTCGGGTAACCACTAGCAAGCTAGAAAAGGTCTTCATACTGAACTAAATCTAGAGTCATGTAGCTCTCACGGTTGTACTGTAAGTCCTGGATGATTGCTTATAGATAAGTCATTAAGGAAAGGAATCTAGAGCATCACAAAAACTATGCTCTAGCCCTCTTGTTCCTTGTTGCTAAAAAGCATCTTTTAGTGTTTATTGCATATTCTATTAGCCAAGTTACAAGATCATGGTTGTTGTTTGAGCACTAGCATCATACTACCCAATGCACAAACCCATAGGTGACAAGGAATCAAGATATCAATTGGTAGGGAAATTCCTACGGTTAACAAGGTAGACTCATGCATATGATTAAAATGATAATTAGTGAATAGGACAACAAGAATGATCCCGTGTTATACTTGCCTTACTCAAAGTTTTCCTGTTGGTCCTGCTGGTTGTCAAAATATTGATCTTGTTCACCGTCGAATTGCCCACCGTCTATACACGATTCACCGATACAACATCACACAAGCATCTATGAGCAATCATGCATAGCAAACAAGAACAATAATTAGAACAGTATACCAACAATGAAAAAACAAGGTGAAAAGTTTATAAAATCATTCTACACGTCGCTACGAACTCACAGACGTGAGAATCACCGAAATCGGATTTAAAACGTAGAAGACATGATGAAAATATGAACTGGATGGCAAAATCGTAAATAATGCGATCTAATTACGAATTAAAATAAATCAAAATCTAAATTTAAATTTAAATCTGCGCCAGGGACGGCTACATAATTTTGAGAAAACCTAGGGTCTCTTTAACAAAATAGACGGCGAAGGGATATCTTCTAATCTTAGCCGTTGTTCTCGATCTGAATGGCTTAAATTCAATAGAGAGTATAAGAGAGAGAGGGGGCTGGCTGGAGATGACGGTCAGCACGGCGGCCACCATTGCCCGCGGCGAGGACCTCGCCGGCGCTCATCAATACGATGATTCCAAGCGCCGTAGGCCAAAAAGAAGATACTGGGAGAGAGATTGGACACCCGCGAGCTCACCTAGGGCTTCAAACCGGTCGGAGAGACGAGACGCAATTGACGGACAGCTCGGTGAGGCGAATGGCAAGTTCCTGCACAGGTTCGGCGTCGGCGTGTGAGCAAAGAAGAAAGGGAAAAAGAGGGAAACACGGCTCTGTCGCTTCGTCACCTCGACGCAAAGCGCGGTACAGGGCTGAGGGCGGCAACGGAACTGCGGACGAGTGGATGACCGAGCGGCTGCAGCAGCGAGGATTCGCGGCGGCGGCGCAAAAGCTTCCGGGCACTGCGGCTATTGCGAAAGGGTCGGGAAAGGGCAGCGGAGTGCGGCACATTGCTTTTATAGCCGGGGATGTTCCAGAGATGGAAGGGAGGGAGATCGAGAAGGATTTGGCGACCTCAAGGAAGGAAAGCTGCAGCTTCCTTTCCGTCACGAGGAAGAAGACGGCTCAACCACTGACGTGTGGGGCCATCTCGTCATCGCCACAGGGGGCGGAGCCCGGCTGTCAGCTAGCCAGGAGAGGGAGAAAGGGGCCAAAGGGTAACAGCGCTGCTGCTTGGCTGCTGGGCCGGCGGCAAGGAGGTGGCCATGGCTGCACACTAGAGGGCCACGCAGCACAGAGCTGTAGCAAGCCAACAGGCCAAAAGAACAGAGAGAGGCACATTCATTTTCCCTTGGCTATTTCCGAAAACTGAATTTTCCAAAGCTTCAAAAGAATTTTGAATACAGAGAGATGAGAGACAAAAACCACACAGTACAAAATAAATATGCAGCAGAATGTATGCATCATCATGTGTCTAGACTTATGATGGATTTTAATTCAACGAAAAATATTATTTCCTACATTTGAATGTCCATACAATTGCTCAATGAAATCAATTTAAACTATTTTGAAAGGATGCAAATTTCAGGAGTGGTTTGCATTTTCCAATTTATTCATTTCTTTAGTATAATAATAGATGGATATATATGTAACATTAGTATAAGATATCTTTTATAACTTTGTATATTTGTGAACACACCATATGGATATCATTTACTACTGAATATTTGGCAATCTCACTCTGCCAAATGGGGCGTACCCATTTTTTAACCCAAATTAATGTCAGCCTTTATTTACCACAAACCATTTCCTCATCTGATCGCAAATCGAATCGTGCTGGGTTTCTATAATCCCACATAGAAACATAATCCACCAAGATATAAGATATCGGAGTCGATCTGATCGAATCTGGCGTATTTTGTCCGTCTTCATTCATTTTATTTATTTCACGGACTCGCACTCTTGCATCTCCTTCCATTGTTTGTTGTGACTTCCTCAGAAAGAGAGAGAGAGAGAGAGCTAGAGAGCTAGAGGGAGAGAGAGAGAGAGAGACAGGGGGAGAGAGAATGCAGAGGTCTCTCTGGAGACACACCTTCTCGTCCCCTGCCTGTGTCCACGCCATCGAAAGTTCCGACGATGGCTCTCGCCGCTCCACCATGCCATCATCAAACAATGAAGAACCACGGAAGAAGATGAACAAGAAGGTAATGAAGTTACTTACCCTGCCCTTGAAGCACAGACAGCGCATCCCCCAAGTGTTGAGATCGCTCTCTTGGGGTGCGACTGCCAAGAAGGACTATCCCAGGCAAAACAAAAAGGATGGGGTCGTCTGTGACCGTGAGCGTGAGGAGAGCGATGCGGATACGTTCGTGTCCGCCAACAGCTCCGAGCTGCGCTCCTTCTCCACGGGCGTCGACGTCGACGACTCTGAGCCCCCGTCGTTTCGGCTCATCCCGCCGCCGCCCATCTTCCCAACCGGCAGTATCGAACGTACTCCCCCAGCCTCTCCCATGAAGATCGTCCGAAAGCTTCCATTCGGGTACGTTATTGGTCGTCAGCTGGATACGCCCGCGCCATCACCGCCGCCGTCTGTGACAACGCTGTCAAGAAAAATCAAGACTGCGATGCCATTGATGGCTTGGCTGCACCTGCGGTCGAGGTCACGGATGGTCAAGAAGAAGGTTGGCCGTGTTTTCAAACAAGTATGTCAGCGAGGCAGGCGTGAAGGTGTAGAAGAAACCGATGGCTGCAGCAATGACGATGAAGATGTGTTCTGGAAGAAGGACGTGAAGGGACTTCGCTGTAGGCGGGTGCAGGACGACGACGCTCCATACTGAATGGACGGAGACGTGTGGGTCGAGCGCTTCTATCAACGGTTTTTTTCCGTTCACATATAACCCACATGATTTCTAGGGGTGTGCATGAACAATAGAAATTAGGATACAAGGATCTATGAAAAAAACATGCTACATCCTTCTCTGGTATCTATGTTAATTCCTGGTGTTCCAAAACAATTTTATAGAATTTTTCATTCAGTTGTATGTTGTTTCGCAGTTGGCACTACTATTCTCTAACTCGATTTGTCAAATAAACGTAAAAAGTGCGATCTTCTGTGCCAGTAGGCTGTTTCTTTCACTTCCAAAAAAACATTCTGGAGAGTATCAAAATTGATTCCAAAGACGGTTTTGAAACATCTCTAAGCAAGCATTTGTAGAAATAATGTATTTCTAGGTACTGCCATGCAACTAACCCTGGAAACAAATTAAGAGAGCAAAGGCTTCACTGAGCACTGCAGCCTTCGTGAATCTGGTAATTGTGTTCAATCCGATTATAGGGACGTTGTCAAAATTATAGGTAACGGAGGCTTCACTGCTAACTCAGCAGTGTACTATGAGTGCGATCTGGTGCGGTTCCAGAATATCTCCATTGAGCACTTCAGCAGGGAAACTAACCAAGCGGCTCATGAGCTGGCGAGGCAGGCTATGCACTCAATGACTTATTGTATCCAGGATGATGATCCCCGTATTTTTATTGTGGAGTTTTTATTGAATGATGATCAATAAAGTTTGCCACTCGGTTTGTCCAAAAAACTGGTTTTCACATCTTTAAACTTGTATTTGAACTAATCACTTATCCTATATTTCAGGTGCTGGAATTTTAAGATGATTTCAAGCAATACTCTTGTACCACCAACACTAGTATAAGTAAATTCTTAATTTTGTGATTTGTTATTTGTCTTTGTGTCATAGCATATCAATTTTTTGTCCTTGTCTCACTATAAAAAACAATTGTAAATTGTTAATTGTTCTTGTGCCAACACAAATCAAATTCTTCTCGAGTTTATGGTTTTGTCTAACATGTGTGTTTTATTTTCGGAACTGAAAATTACAGATTGTGTCTACAGAAATTGCAATAAACTAAAGCAACAATTTTAAATATAAAATATATGCAAAAACCGTTGCCTAAAATGAAACTAAAATTTAGGCAAGTCCCTGAACTAATAAATTGACATACACGTATGATAGGCTAGTGTCTGTAAAAAAAATTCATACGTAGTAAGAGGAAAAAAAATTAACATGTAAACTCTTGTATATAATGTACAAAAATAAAACTAACCCATACGACAATACTCTCTCCATTCCAAATTTTATGATATTTTGGTTTTTTTTTAAATAGATAGTTTTTATTATGCACTTAGATATACACTATATATCGATATGCAATAGACGAAATATATTAAAAAACTAAAAGGTCTTATAATTTAGAACAGGAAAAATACATAGAGTCTATTTGGTTGAGATTCACCAGCTTCAGATTCATCATTTTTAGCTCTACTCCATAAAAAATTTCCCAAATACTCTAGATCCACCAAATTCGAATCCACCAAAATGATGAATCTAGAGACCAGATTTACCATTTTGGTGGAGCTTCTCAGGGGTGCTCCACCAACTCAAAGTTTGGTGGAGTTAGAAAAAATTACATCACTGCCACTCCTTACACAAGATACCGGTTCATTTCTATTTTTCTTCTTCTTCCTCAGTACGCGTTTTCTCTCCTCCGTTCGTGTTTTCCTCTGTACGAGTTTGGGATAATAGTATCCAGTATCCATTTCCATGGAGAAGGAGCAGCTTGAGGTGGAGCAGGATGCGTGCGATATTCACGAGCAGTGCATGTTTCATCTTTTTTTTTTGCAATAAAAGCAGAAACCAATGTGACCATATCATGACTGACAACAGTGCGGGCCTGCAGTTAACAGTCCACCGGTTCTATCGTTCCTTTGAGAAAACTGATTTGTAGAGGTGGCTGGCAAACGCCTCTACAAACCTGCCATTTGTAGCAATGGTATCGTAGCCGCCCTACAAACCTCTTTGAGCTGCCCCTAGAAATCCTTACCGAAGTAGTGGATGGGAGTGGGTTTTTGACAAGCGTGATGTTCTAATGCAGAATTATATTTGTATTTTTTGTGATGGATCAAGTAGCCGCTAGCGGGTTCAGTCATTGCACCGATATCAATTTCACAAAAAAATACAGAATTTGAAAATTCGAATCTTATCAGAACATATATACATATATACATATATACATATATAATATATAATATATAATGCACAAGGACATTACAAACCCATAATAATTCACAGGAACCATAATAATTTAGATTAGTTCATTACAAACCATAATAATTTAGATCAGTTCACTGTTACAACTAACAGTAATTTAAATTTCTAAAACTTCATGATGTCGTACCACGTAATCGGAGAAGTACATGTCATTCATTTCATATGCCCAAATGTCACTGATGTAGCACAATTTATTTACTAGTGCGCTCTCCCTTGCTTCACAAGATCAGTCACAAGGTCTACTAACGACAGCAATGGTTGAGAAGACACCCTAGTCACAAGCACTTTTTCCTAGATTCCCTATGAAGTGAATACTGGCCCAGCATATTCTCATTCATAACGACCCATTTGATACATGGCCTGATTGATAATGGCTTCAAAGCTACAACTTGCGTATGTCACAAGGTCTACTAATGATGATCAGCAATGGTTGAGAAGACCCCTAGTCACAAGCACTTTTTCCTGGATTCCCTGTGAAGTGAATACTGGCAAAGCATATTCCCATTCATAACGACCCATTTGATACATGGCCTGGTTGATAATGGCTTTAAAGCTACAACTTGCGTATGTTACGTCATATTGCTCAACCTGTAAGTGTTGAGAAAAATATCGTTTTTCAGAACCATGCATATACATAGACATAACAATTAATCTAGATATAAGTTACGAGACTGACCACATCATTTATGTTGTTCTCAGCAAGCTGTGCACAATAGCCCCCAATATCGTGGTGGCGGCTCAAATTCAAAGCTTGTATCCTCATGGAGGAGTACGTGGGAATATTGTACCCAATATTTTGAAGCGCCCTTAACCATTCTAGCATAGTATATTTTTGAGCACTAATGTAGTGAGGTTGAGCACTGCCCTTGGCAGATACTCTAGTAGAGGGCCCTGATAAAGATGAATAACCCTACGCAACGCTAGAGTAGTAGTCAGTAGCATAGATGTGGTGTCTAAGCTAGAGGCTACCTTCATTTGCCTCGTGCCCTACGGTTGAGGGGTAGGCGACAGAGGGTGACAGCCCTGTCCGTTCCTTGTAATCCCCCATGTCCGAGTACGACGTAGAGCCATATGCCGGTATCGTCTGGTAGATCAGGTGCGCTCCGGTGCCCGAAGTAAACAAGTAAAGGTAGAGTTTACCTGTCCTTAGACCCAAAAGCCATAGGAATCCTTCTCTACCCTTTCCAACTTTACTCCTTGTGTTGTCCTTGGATGAACTAACTAGAAGAAGTACCTCCATTCCCTGTGAAAAATACGATATCCTGAATACTTTCGGGTGAAGACTACAACGGTAATTCCGTGTGCTTGCAGATTCTTTTTGTCTGCGTTAAGAAATACCAACAAGCTTTCTGGAGCCGTTGCTAGGAATAGTTGCTATCTTCTTCGAACCTAGTTCGTCCTCATATCTATATCCTTTCTTTTTATAAAAACAAAAATATTTTTCTTTTATCTTTTCCATCACGAAGCCAACTTCAAATCCTTATCCTTTCGCTTCAAAGGGCGAGTTCGCTGAGCCACCACCGAAACCAAACCTCTCATTTGGCGGTGAACTCCACCCTAGTCTAAAAGCCATGGTTCGGGAATAACCCTTCTCAAGGCATGACCATGAAAATCATTGCCATCACCTGCGAGAGTTCGAGGAAATGTGTTCGTGCCTGAGCATCTTAGGCATGACACAAGAAATCTTAAGGTGGAAATTGTTTTCCTTTTCTCTCACGGAGAAGGCAAAATAATGGTACACACATGCCGTAGGAAGTACGAATGGGGATTGGGAAGAACTTAAAGATATGTTTTGCCTTGCATTCTTCCCTATGTCCCGTATCGACTCTCTACCAAGGGCAATCCTTGATTTCGAGCAGTACGAGAGGGAATCTATAGGTGCAGCCTGGGCCAGATTTTCAATGTTAATCCATGCTGGCCTAGACTTGTCTTTACCCGAGAGCATGTTGTTGCATCTCTTTTGTTTGGGTCTCGACATAGAAGCTGCCTTATACCTTGACATGACCATCGGAGGGTCATTTACACATAAAACTATGACGGAACAAAAGAAAGTCCTTGCTCACATCCTAGAAAAACTTGTTTCTTCCATCATAGAACCCAAACCCCTCCAAAAGAAGGGCATGTCAAGCTTTGAGGAGCCCTCATCAACCGAATCCAAACTCGTTCCATCCTTAGATTCGATTGATGAGCCCTCACCCGAACCACGAACACCGAAGGAAATAGTGATTCATCCTTCGGAGTTCATAATTGAATTTGAGGATTATGGCAATACCTCGAAGTTATCATGGCACGAAAAGCACATAAAGGAAGTTTCCCCTAGAGTGGAACCATCAAAGGAATGGTTAATGGAAGTGAAACATTCTACTGAAGCAATTCAGATTCTTTCACCTTCCACGACCATACCTTGCTTGTTAAGGGGAACAAACATAGACACCCTACACAACCCCACAATTGAGACTAGTATCATGTCAGAATTCCTAGCGAAAAACATTTTGGGTAACTGTTGGTATTTATTAACTTGTCACTTATTTAAATAGCCACCTATTAATTACCTACATATCCTAACATTACTATACTAGGTTGTCATCCCTAGTGATGGTGCCAGAGATGTTTGTTGGTGCTGCCTAGCATCACTACTAGAATGATACTAAGTAGTTCTTTATCATCTTATGTGACTAGAAAGAATATATAGATATGAAAAGCGATCTGCAAGCGCA